GGTTCGCCCCGTCTACTGTTAATCACACAAATGTGTGTTTCTCTTATCAATGATTAGGCTGATCGTCAATTCTCAAACCAGGAAGCCTAATGCAATCCCTGGATCAGGATCTTGATCTTAGTTCGACCACCGTTGACTTTTTCACCGACTGTCTGCCTCGGCAAACAGCGCACACCAATGAAGCTTATTTAATGACAAGTATAACACACTCCAACCATTTTAATCTCCGGATGTCAAGCACCTGCGTTACTGTGTGATCGAGACTGCCCTAACATCATTCGCCAGTTGCTCCGTTAGACTTATGCAGTGCGGCGTGAACATTGGTGTTCGAAAACCGATAGGTTGTTTTTATTCTTCTCCCATATGACTACCAAGAACTGACTGAACAGTTGCAACCTACACTCTACTGGCTCAACTAATTCGGCAGCTAGGGGCGGCATTCTTTGATGGCTAAACAGAATTAAAGGAGTGCGTGTACACAAGGCAAAAGGAAGAAAGCTTTAATATTTATCGAGATATGTTCCAGTTTATCTAATCGATGTCAATTAGGCTTACAACCTCTAAATGTGTATCACTGATCAAATATTTTGTTATCATGCTTGAGGTTATGGTGCAAGTTGTGGGGTACTTTACGCGTGCCAGATTTTATTACGAACTCAGAGTTTCCAGTCGTTTGAACTGTTAACTCTCTAGTAACAAAGGGGCAAATGTGATCTGTCAGCGAACGACGGCGGTTCTACCGGGCAACAGTTCTGGACAGTGATTTCAGATTTCAGTTTATCCAGAAGTCAAAGAATTAGGATTGAGAAAATTGATGTGGCTACATTTCACTTCACTCATTAAACAATTCTCAAATCAAATCAAAGTAAGCATTCTCTGGCATTCTCTGGCATATACCATGTTGCTTTCATCCTTCCTGTTCCATGCAGCCATATGTTCTCCGACGGCTCGGTCGGTGGATTTCTTCTTTTCCGATAGCGACTTATCCAGTTCGGGTCGCACAACACCAGTCCAACTCAGTGCACAACCGTCTACTGTTTTGGATACCCCAGTCTCTCTGACAAGCATATCCGAATCACTTAGTGAAAAGAGTGTCGGAAACAAACGCAAGCGTACATGCCTGAGTAAATCTCCAAATATTGTCCATACACAATCACCTGCCGTGCCAGAACAAGAGACTGGTTCTTTTAAAACTCCGTTAGCGCGGCCATCCAGATCGAGACTTACCTCATCGAGCGACTCTGTTGGAGAAACTCCGCTCAAGCACCATTCGGATGTCCACGCCCTAGGCATGAAAACAAATTCAGGTAAGTATTCCAATGCCATAGTGGTCCGTGTAACTTTCAGTTTCAGGTCAAGTTAAAATAAGCTGTACGCTTAGGTCGTTTGTTTCACAAACTGATTTCTATGAGTGAGCAAAGCGAGCGTAGAGACTTGGTCGCTAGAGCGTTTCTTTTGTCTCTCATATAACCGCGCAGAACATCTTTCTCTGAAACTTGTTGGACCCAAATAATTGCATTGAATTTATTCTCATCTGTTTCTTTTTCGAGCTGAACTAGTTGTTTTCCCAAGGGTGTTTGTCACCAACCAGTTGCAAACACTGAATGATGTAGCAACTAACTGACAGCAGTTTCGCACTTGTAGTCATTTCTTATTAGGTCAACATTCTTTAAAAGGTATGTATGTGCATTTAGATTGTGCACTCTGTTCGTTGACCTCAGTTATTCCCCAACCCGGTTGTAACCATGCATGTTGAATTCTGGTTCTCTCAGTTGATTATAGGCACTGTCTCCACGAGAATATGGCAGATTTTCATCAGCAGAGGTTGCAGACAGACTGTTAGGAAGCATGCTCAAGGAGATTGGGACGATGTAGTTCGTTTACCGAAACCACTGTCGGTCGCGGTTGAATAATGAAAAGTGTATGGGGAAATAAGGACATCTGAACTACTTGCAGGTATGCTAGCCATGTTTGATGTTTGCTCACCGTTTCATCAGTTGTTCGGTTCTCTTTACCTGAGTCCATGACGATTACTAATTCAGGTTTTACCTACTAACGTCGTAATCCCCATAAGAAACTTCAAAAATGCTCTCTTCATAAGACGGGTATTTCATTTAAGGTTTACTTTTCCGATTACACAATCATTAATCTAAACATGAGTGTCATGATCTCATTTGTTGTCTTTCAGTGAACGCTGAATTTTTATTTAACTGATGAATGAGACATTTAATGCGTAAAAATTTAATTTGATGGTGTCCGAGAACGGACACAAATATCCGCAAAAGAATCACGCTACTAAACAGTTCTAACGGTATATATATATACAAGTGTTGACCAAACTCGTGCAACATCACCCTCATTTTGAAAACCCATTTCAGCTGGCAATA